CGTGTAGTATCAATAAAGGCTATCAAATGTGAGATCAGAAAATTAGAAGAAATTTAGCTCTAAACCATGCTGCATTACAGCACATACCAGTATCTTTGCTTTGAACAGGTCTCTTACTCAGTTTGTGACAGCCTTTTGCATTATTCTCTTGAGAAAATGATCCCATTAAGCCTTCTGTCACACAGAGGAGCTTTTCCAGTTAAAGAAGCAGAGCTGACATTTAGGTGACCTAAATGACCACTGATTAATCTATCAGCTTATCCAAAGGGAAAAAAAATGCCATTGTTGTCATTATCATCATAGAGTTGAAGGACAATTCTAAACTAAGTAGTGTAAAAATTAGTCCTTTTCTTTCAGAAATTGGGAATGTGCTTCTTTTTTTTTTTCATACTTTTTTTTTTTTTTTGTTATTTTTAGTATTTCATCATTGCAAAAGACTTTAAGACTGGGGTAGATGTAGAAGTACAGGTGAATAAATGTCTGTTCCATAGCCTGCTGATGTCTTAATTTTTATTGAAGGTGAGAGAACATCCAGATTTGTTGGAACTGTAGGTTGCTGTATTCAGGACAAAATCAATGCAATGTGCTTTATGACTAGGACTTTAATCTTGTTTCTTTTCTTGCAAAGAGCTACTTAGACATTATAACATTTAGATATTATACTAATTTTTCCTCTAGCTGATTTCTTAATACATATAATAGATACATAAAATAAGAACAGGGCACTGGCCTCAAATATTTTTTTCTTCTAATTTTTCTGAAATAAAAGGTTAGATAGACTGGACATCTGGGAGAAATATTTTTCCCTTTTTTATTTTTATTGAGCTATTGAAGTAATTGGAAGGACGTCTTTTTTTTCTAAAGACAAAATCCCAAATCAAATAATAAATCACATATAAGAGAAAAATAAAATAAATGCTATATCAAATCTGTCTAAAAATGTCCACAAAATTGAACAGCATAGAGACAGCTGACAGTGGAAAAAATATTGAACAACTTGTAACCACCATTTATCAAAGAATGTAATTTAACAATTGTTGACGTACAGAAGCAAAGAGAAAGATATATCACAGAAAAATAAAACACACTGTTATTGATATTTGAGAGCAGGGTTATATTACGGTGTTTGAGAATAGAACCCAGCTTTTTACATACAGGCAATGATTTTTAAAAACATTGTTTCAGGAGTACAGTTACAGCAGAAATGCTTTTCTGTTTAAAGATGCCCTAAAATCTTATTTATGTGAAAATTAACTGTCATGGTTCAGGACTTGGTACAATTTTCATCCCCTTTCCTGATCTCTGAGTGAAATCTTCAGAGATCTCTGACCTTGAACTCTTGCTGTTCTCTGATTCTCTCACTCCTAGACCTTTCCCTAGTAGCCACAACCCTTTTGTTTTGCATATACCGTGACCAGAAGAGACTTACTTCCAAAAACAAAATATCCTTTAATCTTGATAAAACCAAAGTTTAATACAGTATATTTATTTTTTTTTCTTGATATTACCTAGAAATCTAGTAGATCTGTCATGACTTTCAGCCTGGCTTTTGAGAATATGGACTGTCTTTCCTCTTGGTCTGGTTGTCTTCTCCAGTCCTTAAAAACTTCCATAAATTCTAATGAAAGTGGTTGTTCACATTTTCTATGGTATACTTCCCTATCCAGAATCAATTTCCTGAGAAAAGTAAGGCAGAGTAGTTTAAAGAAAAATGCCCTTAGAAATGTGTTCAGGTTTTTAAAGGAATCCGTGAACTTGGGGAAACATTTCAAGTAGTTTTCTTTCTTCTTTGTCTGTTTCCTGATTACCTTGCTAGTTTAGCCATATAAAGCAAATGCCATCCAAATAACATAAATTCCAGTTTTCAGGTTATATTGTACCTGTAAATAATTACTGGCCACCCGTGATCCATTTTAATTGTATTACAGAGTTTTAAAATTAAATTAGTATCCTGAAGTATCCTACTTCAAGAAGAAGGATGCTCGCTACCCTGAAAAGCTTGTTTAGTCATCAAGCAGGAAAGTCAAAGTGGAAACAAAGAATATTTCATCCCCGTTTTATAAGTGATTGTGTGAAATGCAGAGAAATAACTGACTTGCTGAGGATAGTCTGAAAGTGAATGTAGATATTACAACAGTAAAGTTATTTCTTGAAACCCATAGGTCTCTTATCACTGACTTCAGTGACATGAAAAGCTGAACTATCCCAGATCTGGTGCTCTAACTGAGACATCATCCTCCCTCTACTAATTTTCAGTGTTAGTGATGCTCATTAAAAACATTTATCTCTGCTTGTCTTCTCCTATGACCTTTCTTGTATTAATAAGGTGAAAAGATGGATAAACATTTCCAAACGTATAGTTTGCATATAGCATCTCTTTGTGCATAGTGACAAGAAAAATAAAGAGGGAAGAGAGAAGAAATATTTCACCTTTGGAAAAAGAAGAACCAGCATCAACGACAATAAGGAACAGGAACTTTCCCTTATGCTAGAAATATATATATAAAAAAATAAAATAAATAAATAAAAATGCTAGTGATGGAAACAGCTCCAACTATCTCCCTCCAGTAGGCAGAACTATATTTTGAAAGACAATTTTTAGCTAATTTGGCTGTTGTGCAGTTTGAACTTTACGAATTGACTTGTAATTGGACCATGCTGTCAATGGAAAAACTTACAAGTATCGAACATGACATTTTTAAGAAGGTTACTGTCATCCAGTCCTCTGTTAGTGAATATGCAGCAAGTTATAATTGGTCTAACAAGCTTAGTAACCTGACTTACTTCCAATTATAATGTGCATCCTCATTTACATCTTTTCTTTATTTACTGATACGTGGTAGGTAATAATTCTCTATCTAGTTCTCCTGCTTCAAAATAAAGCTATCTAATCATAAAATTGTTGGGTTCTTTTAATATGCATGTATATATGTACATATATCTATATAATTTGTGTATGACCATTATGTATGTGTATATATGTATATTTATTCTAAATGATTAAAATACATACATAATTTTAATTTATGTATTTGATGTATCTTTGTATTTTTTGAATAATTAGATATAAGTATAAAGTTACCTGTTGGTTTTAAACTACCTAGAGGGGGTTTCCTCCAGATCTTTGTTAGGCTTAAATCATGATTATGGCTTGAAGTAATAATGCCTTCATGTGGATATTATTGTCAGGACTGCAAAAGAAGGGGAAGGATAAGAAAATGAGCAGATTGATGAACTCTATGCATTTATTATCAACTTATACTTGCATGAGGGAGAAACTGCTCACTTACTATAAAATTAGAATAGCACCATTAATTTTGTTTATTACTCAAGTGATTTTTAGTGCATGTAAGATTTTTATTTTATTTTTTTAGGTATGTCTTGTTAAATAGTCTTATGGAAAGTTAACTGTAAGACTGTAGCTCTGCAGACATGTCTACATTTGTTGTACCTCCCCAAAGCGGAGCTGTTCCATGGAGTACTGTTGATTTCAGAAAAGACAGGATTTCTTTTATTTTGTTTTCATGGCCAGCATAACAATGATAATGCAGAATAGTTCTTTGGAAGTAGAGAGTGGGCTCAATGAAGAAAATTTGGAATCTAGAGAACTGACATTTTTGGATGCATTCATAAAGGTTTTGTTTTGGTTTATTTTTTCAAAAATTTCTACATTTATGGTAACTTGGCCTTCACTGCCATGCTCTCCTTACTTATCTTAGTAAGAACTGATTGGTGAAAAGTGGTCAAAAAAGTTGGAAGTGGAAGAAAGAAGGAAAAAAAAAAAAAAAAGAATGTATAAGACCTACAGGGGTGAACAAAATGAGCAAAGAGAGCAGAAAGAGAGTGGTCTTTCTCCTTTTGCTCTGTGTTCTGATCACAAGTCTATCTGCCTTGGAATTGCCCATAGTCCCATTTTACAAGAAGGACTGGAGAAGAGGAATTAGGATTATTATTCCTTTTTTTTCTTTCTTTTTTTTTTTTTTTAAATGAATTCATTCAAGAGTACTTTCATGAAAAAGGTAGTTTTTTGTTTTTTTTTTTAACTACCTTGAAAAAAAAACCTACCTTTTTCATGAAAGTACTCTTGAATGAATTCATTTTCAGAGTGTACATGAGAATTTAAAGACTTATATATAGTATCTTTTTGTATAATTTATAGCTAACAGTGAATCTGTTTTCAGTTTGGGTTCTGCTTGTGTATCAGCAACGTTAGTCATGAGCCTCAGAAAACAGAAAAATATTCTTTTGATTTTGGAGACAAGAATAATGATAGTAGAACATTTTAAGTTCCTATCTTTGTTGTTATGACCATGTTGTATCTTTGCTGTTAGTAGCCGTGTTGCTTCAGGGGACACAAGAAAAGCTGTTTTGTCTGCCCTATTTTCTCTGAGTTGGAACGTTGATCACTGCTAAAATATTGTTTGCTCCCTTAGATTTGCATATTCATTAATGAGTGGATGTTTGCTCAGGGTGCAAGAACAATCTGAAGATATGCGCATCAATGAAGAAAAAACAGTGATATGGCATGTGAATAATTGGAGTAGCTGCAGTTTAACTGATGTTTTTTTTAATCAGCTTCACAGGAGATTTACGTTTCAAGAAATAGGAACAAAGGACTGATGTATGGTGTAGGTGCTTCAGAATGAGCTTTTAGCAAGGTGAATTGTGCTGTATGTTTTAGAATTCACAAATCTATGTACGTATGTTCTCACCTATTTGTGATTAATGGTACGTGATTTTTCTCCACTCATTGCCATGCTTCTTGAGTGTGTCTTGTAATATATTTTCTAAATGTATCAGTACAGGTCTTCTGAGAGAAGCATAGATCTGAACTATCTCATAGAACTGTACTGTCTCAAATAGGTTAAATAATCTTAGAAACAGCGTTTGTTAGTTTTGAATCAATAGCGATAAAGCTTCTGTGTATTCTTACTTACTCAAACTTCTATCTAATCTATCTTTGTTCTCTTCTTCTTGTGCAATCTTTTCCTTGCTTCCAGTGGCTGCTACAAAGAACAAAGTTAGAGGTGAGTTTCTGCTTGCACTCTTCAATTTGCATTGCATGGTTCTGCAGCCCACATATTATCTCAGTTTTTCTTTTCTGCGTCTCAAAACTGAGAAAGATATTTTTATATCTTATGGTATAATAGATAAGTCTTTTAAATTGTATAACTAAGTGCATACTATTACCACTGTTTATCAATTATCACTGTCTATTCATACTACATTTGGCTGGTCGCGTAAATGTAGGGGATTTTTAGGAAAAAGATAAAGCCAAGTGCATTTTAGTTCTGACTTGCATTATAGTAAGATAGGGAAACTGATGGTATTTTAATAGAAATATGGATATTACATACAATTGCTCATAAATATGTAAATGTAATTTATAATTTTTATCTCTAGACATAGTCATAAATATCTGAACAGACAACATAAATGAACATAAGTTTCTCCAAAACAGCCCCATCTTTTCACACTAGTATAAAATGATCATCACTGTTTCTGATGACATACCAATATATATAGAAGCATACTATAATCTTTATCAATATTTATGACTTCAAGCTCCCAAGGTAATTGTCACAAATCAGTGTGACAAAGAAATAAACCATTCAGAATTGATCATGTAAGGTCAATTGTGGAAAAAACATTTCCTGAATTTCAACAAAGCACTGATATAGTAAATATAACCTGAAGAGGTATTTCAGTGTGTATATACATGTAAGCATATATGTACATGTCTATATATGCATACATACATATGTATCTATAAACATATATTTTCAGAGCAAATCCTAAAAAGATAGATTTACAGAAATGTATCTAACTTTTCTGGTAGATAAAGATGAGCTTCTTGATAATCAAACATCAGATTTTAAGGGAAATATTTATGTTTGAATACTTGTAGTTCAGAATTTATGAACTCACATGTCTACAGTGTTCATTAAGTCCAGATATGTTCATTTCTTGCTTGAAGACATGGAACGATAATAATGAAAGAAAACATCTATGTCTAGTGGTGTTTATGCATTAGAGTAATGAAATAGCAATTAAAATAGAGCTCTCTTTTTTTAAACCTTTGCATGGCTCTCAGTAAAATCACGTTTGTTTGTGTTTTTTTGTTTGTTTGTTTGTTTTTTTTTCCCTCAAACTTTGCATGCTTTGGATGTCATGAGCAAGGGGAGAGGATAAAATAGAATTCATATATTTGTCTATGCATGGCATGAAGTTGTCTTTACTCTTTTCTAAAACTCTCACATACTCTTCTGTGACACTGTAACACTGGTCAGGAGTTTTAAGACATTGATAATGAATGAGAAAAATGAACAAAAACAAACAAAAAATGTCTTTAGAAGCAAACTTTCAGCACAAATAAACAAAATCTTATAAGTATTCAGCAATTACCTCATGTACCCATATAGTGCCATTCAAACAGAAACTGCCTTGGAGGCACAGGAATTAAAAAAAAATGAGTCAGAAGTACTCATGGACCCCACTCATCCATGGAGATTAACACACCCTTATTTCAGAAATGCGCATGCATATTGAATAAGCAACTGAAACTATATGTAGAAAATGGGTTTGACGCTGTAATAAGAGTAATTCTTGTAAACAGTAGCTGTGTGTTATCTTCAGAGTTCTCTTAATTCAATTGCTCAGTGCCTTCAGGAAGTTCTCAGCTTTTTCTTTGTTCCTCAACAGCCCTGTAGCGAAGGTACACAATATTCACGAAGAACTCAGTCCTGCAACAGTCATATATTTTACCCCAAAACATAGGACACACCTCTCAGTCTCCTGCATTGGAAGACATGAAGTAGCTGACCACTTAGTGCTTTTTCATCTTGCTCTGGCTAAGCAGTAAAAAAGGATCTGTTCCTGCCCCCTTTGAAGTGGAACACTTCACTGGCAGGCAGTTATCTAATACAGCATTGGAAATGGCAACTCAGAACTGAGGCAATGCTTCACTGCAGTAGGAGTTTCTCTTCTGGCATTTATCTCCCTGAAATCCAGTACTTTTATGTCTATGATCCTGTTTATGGGTCTTCATCCTTCCTTTCCAAAGTCTGGAATTTGTGCTGCGATTTTCACCAACGCAAAGTTTGCACTCATCCCCACCCTGAAATCTGAGGGCTCTGGAGCACTTTAGGAGATGATAGTACACAAACACTTGTCTTGAAATTTTGTTTGCATGAGTGAACTTCTGCTGGTCTCCTTTTTTTTTTTTTTTTTTTTTTTTTATTGTTGTCCCTTTTAGCATTGTCTGTAAGCAGAACATCAGAGCCCTTGTTCTCAAACATTTTATTCAGTGTTCTCTCTGTTTTCTGAGACTTCTTGAAGACTGTTTTTTTTTAAGTGCTGTAAGACAGCTGTTGAACTCTCTGAGTCACCTTTACTTTGTGGCACAGAATCAGTTTAGGTTGGAAGGTCATCTGGCCTGCAGGTCATCTGGTCCAAGTGACCGTGTAAGTAAGGCCCATTTAGATCTGGTTGCTTAGAGCCTACCAGTCAAATTGAGGTATCTCAAAGATTTCTATGTCTTCAGGTTAGGAAATTTGGACTATCTTTATTTTATCATAGTTTTCTTATTTCCTTCTCATGCTTTCTATTACCTAAAAGATCCTGCATGAATGTTTGTGTTGGGCTTCAGAAGGTTAAGTACTTTAATTTTGCATGGAAGAAAGACTTGATTTGGACAGATGCTGCCACAGGACATCTCTGTTGTGGACAGGATACACTGAACTTTTCTTGTGACATGTTGAAAAAGTCTCATTCAGAAGGGTTTGAAAGAGTAAGGGGTAATTAAGTAGGAAGTGGACCATGCATAGCACTGAATTTGATGAAGCAGGGTACAAAATCTCCTGAAGAATCTCAGACTATCTGCCTAATTCAGTGCATGAATTCTTTAAGGTCTGTTCCTTAGTGCACCTGATCAGATTTGTTCAACATGAACTCTGTAAATGAGACTTTCCTCTATCAAAGCAACAATATTGAAGACTTCTTGACCTCCTAAGAAGCTGCATTTTTGACATTTTGGTGACAGAGTTGTTGCAGCTATCTTCTGGCAACAGTTAGCACTGTTTTGCAGGCTGGCTGGCCCTATCAGAGCTGCTAATGATGCGTCAGTTTTCAGTCCAGGTGAAAGAGAGAGGCCAAATGTCTTCATTCAAATGTAATTAGTTTAGGAATGGGATTCTGTGCTCCACATTTTTGCTTCTCAGCATCATAGACTCAGAATCAGCTGCTATTATAAGGCTATCTCTATAGCTGCCCCACTAACCTTATGCAGCTAGATATTTGATTTTATAATCCTTCCAAATTTAAATAGGAATTATTTGTGATGGTTCTTTTTTTTTTTTTTTTTTTTTTTTTTAATATTGGGAGTGGCATGGATGAGTGAAGCCAACCACTTGTTGCAGGAGGATAAGCAAGTCATCTAGAAAGATCGCTGTTGTCTGTCTCTTGAGAAATAAGACTTTCTTTCCTGTTTCTCAGAATCCTGAGACCCTCAGTTTAGAAATAGCAAATTTCTAAGAAGAGTTTCAAGCCCCAGGAAGACTGTTTGCAGAAAGGAAGGTGTAACTGCCTTCGCATTGCAAGATTTGTACTATCCAATTTTTAAAATCACAGTGAATTATCATCTATTTCTGCTATCCTCTTTTCCCTCATGGTAGCTGTGTATGTAGTTACATTTTTGGTTTTCTCCTGGAGAAGTCACGTTCATATAATAGTCCCACTGCTTCTCACAACAAAGTACTACCTACTCTCGGTATACATATATGTATATGCCTATATATACATAATGCTGTATTCTCTCTTCAAAATTGTTGTAAAAGCTGTACTTGAGTGGGTTCTAGTGTATGTCCTATTGATACCTCCAAAGTTTTCTTTTGTCTTAATGCTACCCTTTTAAGTATTGTAAATGCCTTTCACCCTATTTTACTTTCCTCAACAGTCTGGTATTAACAGTACTATTTTCCATAGCCTGATGCATATCCAAGGGATTTTCTCAGATGCATCTTTTTCTTGATTTGTATTGCATCTGTGTCCTAAAGAAATTCTCCTCAGTTTTGAGTTCCATAGAAGAGCACATATTCTTTGTCAGCTCTTCTACAAATGCAGAGGTATGTTGTTTCTTCTTTGCTTTTAAAATAGGAGACGAGTCAGAAACAAAATTAAATTTAGCTTCAACAGTGTTACTTAAAGAGTACATCTCAATTTCTAAGATAAATCATCATAGCAGTTGATACTGTGTCTAAATGTATCTTATCTAAGAGGTAAAGACTGTAGACTTTATTCTCTTGATTTATTTTGTTTGTTCTCATTATGCCAATGAAATTGGTATCAGCTTATTTGAAGTTTAAATCAAGAGGGACTGTGGCAAGAATGTTGGACAAATACACTCTTGTAGCACCTAAATGGATTTACATGATCTTTTACTTAGGAATCAATTTATTTCTCAAGGTCTTCATCAACGGTCAAATTCTGCCCAACCATCTCTTTGATTTTCTTACAGAGTATGATAAGATTTATTGCATTGCTCTATATTAATATTTGCTTTCTTGGTAAATAATAGGTTTAATTCATCTTGTTGTTTTGACTTAATTTATCCTGGTTTGTCTCATTTTTTGTTGACCGTAATTCCATGTATGGAATAGGTACGGTTTAGATTCTTACTTAAGTACATATAATTGGTCAAACGTATTTCTTATTAGAGGTAAAATTATCCTGAAATCAAGCAAGTAACACAACAGCTGTCCATGTTAGGAACAGGATGAAATACATGTGCATAAAGGAGACCCAAATACTACTATTTGTCTTATTTGAATTATCTTAATAAAATTCTAAGCTATTCAGTTATTAACATCAGTCAGGCAGTAGCTCTGTTGTAGCAGATTTTTTTTATTGAGGGATGGATAAATTTGGGTATCATCTGCATGACACATTGCACCATTATGTCAAAAAATACAAACTGGTAGAAGTGTATGGATGTTGAAAGCATGAATCCAATATAGAGCGTAGGGAAACT